GTGGTCGAACACAAACTTTGTACATTAAGATACGTGATTCGTTGTTATAAAGGTTCCGAGTTATGTAACCTATAAGGCATTGAGACTTGGAAGTTTGTTTCATTATCTGTTCGGTAAACGACAAGTCGTTGTTACCCAATCACTTTGTTCTGGTTTCGATTGCGGTGCACGTGTGTCTTTACATCCACTGACAGTTATTCTTCACCAAACGCAGTTTGGATTTTATAGTTCTAAATAAATATTGATCGACTGGAGCTGTTCGGCTATCGTTTATAGTTCTAACCAAATATTGGTCTATTATTGTTTAATGAAACTCTTAATATATTCGAGGGAAATATTTAAGAAAAATGAAATCCTAACGTCATATCATATATTATTTACTCTGAGGAAACCATCAGTATTGTACTTTGATAACTCTTTACCAGTGACATCTATGATCAAATCGCACCCACCCAGTTAACATCAGAAGTCAGAAGCGAGGAGGTTGGAAGATATATTTGATGAGTTATCAATATATCGAGAAGTGACTGATCTAATCTGGCTAATGATCGTAAGAGATGCTTCCCAAGCCGTTCTGTAACGTGATATGGTTTTCCGTTTGTAGCCTGTAACAACGAAACAAACTCACGAAGCCTGGCGTTAGCATTAGCAGGAAGAACGCTTATTTCTGCGCCAGTGTCGACGATGTAGCGAACTTTCGTTGTCACATCCGTGATGTATAAAAGGCGACCATGTTCGCCGGCTACGGTTGCCGTCAACGCGTGCCGGCTGGGAAGTTTCTGGAGTTTTTTCGTGTCTAATTAGGACATGGACTAAGATTACTCGTGTACATGCAATACGTTTTCCCACAGTATGTTGACTTACGAGTCATAAATGTACATGGTTTCGACTAAAACTTGACGGCAGTAATAGAATATGTGACTACTCTATGTGAAATGTTATTAGACATCATAAACATTATACGAAATTAACTAATTGTGATAATCAGAAGTATTTGAATTGTAGTAAAAACTAGTAATCCCAGAAATAACGCAATTTAACCAAGAAGTATTAGATGAGCACAAACGAATGTATTGTATTTGGAATTCAAAATCACAACAGTCATCAATACAAAGAAGACATTGATTTATTTAAACATCACACTAATCCAATTATGAAACTCGCCTGGGTTACTCTTGCTACCAAGTAATTGAAATTCGTTGATTAAATTCGTAGAATAACGAAGCATTGTAGACTGAATTTGTACAAGTCCAAATTTAACTAAAGTCAAACACGTAGCATTGCACGATGAACAGTCTAAACAAGATCTAACATTGCAGGGAATTTATAGTTCAAACTCACCGGTAAATTTTTAGCATTCGTATCCTCTGTTTCGCCATGGAACTCAGCAATTGGAAATTAGGCAGGAAGTGGTAAAGTGAGTAAAATATTTTATGGTAAGTAGTTTCTGACGGAAGGTAGTTGATAGTGATTACGCAGAAAGATGAATTTATAATCGACAGTTAATCCTGTATTGCTTATACAAGTGGATAAGTTGCAAACAGATAGGCGTTCGTGTTGCCACGTGTCTACACCTACGAGTGGTTGATATTTTAATAGACATATTGCACAGGAGCATCTACATGCTGCTAATGATTGTTGAAGAACCACGATAGTCGATTATAGTCGTAGTTGATTGGTTGGCTCTATCGATTGAACTTATTATTTAATTGAAATACTAATCAACATTGATATGAAGCAACGAATGTTCACAGAAACTGATTAACATAAGTGACGTTACAAATGAAAAATAACAAGTATAGAATGCAATAAAAGAAGATTATAATGAAAGGTTGTGTTATTCGAAGTCTTGCTCGCCAGTGTAGACCATCAACGTTGATGATCTATGTCGAATGATTGGAGGTCTATTCGAGTAAGACGGGAACGGTGTAACGAACAAGCTAGCTTCGAAGTAACACCTCGCAACCAACACCTTACCTGGATTGCCCCATCGACGTATCAAGGGATCATGGATGTCCTGAAGACTGTACAACACAAAGGACGTTAATACAGGAATATATTAGTTAAAGTAGATACAAGCGAAAGTAGAACCACTGTCACATGGGCCAGTCAATGGAGTATGATTGACTGATGCGCGTCGGCTGTCCTTGACCTTGACCTTCGATATTTAGTGACCCAACTGCCGGATGATCTGGCTAGGGCTTAAAGATACGTCCAGTATTGTAGTTTTGCAACTAGCAACCAGTAACACCTATATTCAAATCGTCCCCAAATTAGATAAAACCAGAAGTCAGATGCGAAAAGGTAGGAAAGATATATTTGATGCGTTATCAATATATCGAGAAGCGTTTGCTCTAATCCGGCTAGTGAACGTAGGAGCTGTGTCCCACGCTGGTGCGTAACGTGATCTGGTATGGATGCATGACCAAAAGCCTTCAGTTAGACAAGTCCACTTAAAACAATGTGGTCAGCATCCAATGTCGAACACTTAAAAAGCTATTGATTTTGGGGAATTATTTACAGCTACAGGCTCAAAAACATTTCACTGACAATCATCATATTGCATTTACTTCTTGTGAGAAACTTATTGAATGCGAAGCATGAGTACCAAGTGAGCTTGATTCTCATTACAATTCGGATAACTTTAGATCAACTGTTGTTTATACTTATCATGAAGTCACTTCCTATGAATACTCTAGTCAATATGTGAAATATGTTTTAAATGAAGCCACAGTATTCATAATATGGGGATATGAAGATCCAAAATTATTTCGTGGGTAAGGATATTGTTGTAAAGCCTATGGTTCAAACCCTAGCTATTAGTGGTTTTAGTGCACAACCGAAATGATGATTGTATGCAATTCCAGGACCCAGGTGGATCCGTTCGAATTTTGGTTGTTAATTCTAATACTAACGAGTGCATTCTAGATAATACAGAATCTATATCCAATACACTGTCGAAAAGACATAAGATGAACCTAACAAGAAGACGTACAATCGATTACAGACAGTTACACTTCAATTTAAGCTGTGGCGGATGTGGTGTTTATACAGACCAAATATTTCTTCGTATTGATTTTGAATCGTTTGTGCTCATCTAATACTTCTTGATTTAATTGAGTTGTTGTGATGTTTAAATAAATCAATGACTTCTTAGTATTGATGACTGTTGTAATTTTGAATTCCAAATACAATGCATTCGTTCGAGTTCATCTGATACTTCTTGATTAAATTGCGTTATTCCTGGGATTACTAGTTCATACTACAATTCAAATACTTCTAATTATCATATTGGCGTCGCGACTGAGCCTGTGATGGAACGGTTAAATATAAACTCAGATTTTAATGCTTTTGAGGAGTACATGTACTCCTCAGATTTTAATGCTTTTGAGGAGTACATGTACTCCTCAGATTTTAATGCTTTTGAGGAGTACATGAACTCCCCAGATTTTAATGCTTTTGAGGAGTACATGTACTCCTCAGATTTTAATGCTTTTGAGGAGTACATGTACTCCTCAGATTTTAATGCTTTTGAGGAGTACATGAACTCCTCAGATTTTAATGCTTTTGAGGAGTACATGTACTCCTCAGATTTTAATGCTTTTGAGGAGTACATGAACTCCCCAGATTTTAATGCTTTTGAGGAGTACATGTACTCCTCAGATTTTAATGCTTTTGAGGAGTACATGAACTCCCCAGATTTTAATGCTTTTGAGGAGTACATGTACTCCTCAGATTTTAATGCTTTTGAGGAGTACATGTACTCCTCAGATTTTAATGCTTTTGAGGAGTACATGTACTCCTCAGATTTTAATGCTTTTGAGGAGTACATGTACTCCTCAGATTTTAATGCTTTTGAGGAGTACATGAACTCCCCAGATTTTAATGCTTTTGAGGAGTACATGTACTCCTCAGATTTTAATGCTTTTGAGGAGTACATGTACTCCTCAGATTTAAATGCTTTTGAGGAGTACATGAACTCCCCAGATTTTAATGCTTTTGAGGAGTACATGTACTCCTCAGATTTTAATGCTTTTGAGGAGTACATGAACTCCCCAGATTTTAATGCTTTTGAGGAGTACATGTACTCCTCAGATTTTAATGCTTTTGAGGAGTACATGTACTCCTCAGATTTTAATGCTTTTGAGGAGTACATGTACTCCTCAGATTTTAATGCTTTTGAGGAGTACATGTACTCCTCAGATTTTAATGCTTTTGAGGAGTACATGTACTCCCCAGATTTTAATGCTTTTGAGGAATACATGTACTCCTCAGATTTTAATGCTTTTGAGGAGTACATGTACTCCTCAGATTTTAATGCTTTTGATGAGTACATGAACTCCCCAGATTTTAATGCTTTTGAGGAGTACATGTACTCCTCAGATTTTAATGCTTTTGAGGAGTACATGTACTCCTCAGATTTTAATGCTTTTGAGGAGTACATGAACTCCCCAGATTTTAATGCTTTTGAGGAGTACATGTACTCCTCAGATTTTAATGCTTTTGAGGAGTACATGTACTCCTCAGATTTTAATGCTTTTGAGGAGTACATGTACTCCTCAGATTTTAATGCTTTTGAGGAGTACATGTACTCCTCAGATTTTAATGCTTTTGAGGAGTACATGAACTCCCCAGATTTTAATGCTTTTGAGGAGTACATGTACTCCTCAGATTTTAATGCTTTTGAGGAGTACATGTACTCCTCAGATTTTAATGCTTTTGAGGAGTACATGTACTCCTCAGATTTTAATGCTTTTGAGGAGTACATGTACTCCTCAGATTTTAATGCTTTTGAGGAGTACATGAACTCCCCAGATTTTAATGCTTTTGAGGAGTACATGTACTCCTCAGATTTTAATGCTTTTGAGGAGTACATGTACTCCTCAGATTTTAATGCTTTTGAGGAGTACATGTACTCCTCAGATTTTAATGCTTTTGAGGAGTACATGTACTCCTCAGATTTTAATGCTTTTGAGGAGTACATGTACTCCTCAGATTTTAATGCTTTTGAGGAGTACATGTACTCCTCAGATTTTAATGCTTTTGAGGAGTACATGTACTCCTCAGATTTTAATGCTTTTGAGGAGTACATGTACTCCTCAGATTTTAATGCTTTTGAGGAGTACATGAACTCCTATGACTAAGGAAGATGATGAGGATTTTAATATTGTGGCCCATTTCCTTACATTCATCGGGAAAGAAGCATACAGCCTTATAAAGATTTTGGCACTTCCAGACAAACCGATTTCACTCCCCTATGCAACTCTCAAGCAACTTCTGTTGGATCATATAAAGTATACAAATTCCGAATGCGGTAAGAAAGGAAAATCCGATAAAATGACTCGTCAGAACATCAGGAATTCCACTTATTCAAACAGTCGTCGTAATTCGATGCGTAATCAAATTTATTCAGATAGTACTTCATTGAGTTGTGAAACAGTCCATGATGATGAGCACAAGTTTAGTAAATGCATGTTCTGCGGCAAGTTTCACCCATGTAATTCATGTATATTTCGTAATTCTAAATGCTTTAAATGTGGTATAACTGGACATATTCAGTCAGTTTGTAATACCATGGTTCATTTCGCTGAAAGTAATACTAAGATGGATGCTTCTAATGATCAGTTATCTTTATCTAGAAGAGGTATAACGTTATATAACAGTCCAGAGTTGAATGAAACCCAGAGTAATTGGGAGGCGAAAATTCTCAACCAATCAACTTATCAGATTTCTCATGTTATTGTGCCAGATATGGTTTGTCGTAATAATTCACATACTTCTGATGTAATTTCTTACAACTCTGAGAATAGAATGTTAAATGAGTCAAATCATGATCAAAAACCAAATTCAGTCATGGTAGATGTTGAATTCCCTGATGATCCATTACCTAATGAAACTCTTAATCAATTTGAGGAAAATATTTCAGAAGAATCGAATTCTGATATCATATCAAGTGTCAGTGGTCCTCATAATGAATTTATCTCTAATGATATTCCTCATGAATGTGAAAAATATGTTTCTTATGAGTTGAATTCTAGTCATATTTCTGATGTTATTGTGTCATATGTTGGATACTCTCACGAACAATGCATGTTGAATAGAATCCCTAGTCAGGGGTATAATGATACAGAGGGGATAGCAAAATTTTCCGAAGCAACCAGAGAACCAGTTTGCCCAGAAGTGAAGTTTGCACAGACAGAGAATCCAAATCAAGTCCAAGATTATCCTAATGAATATGAGGCAGATGAATGTTTTTTATCCGATTGTTTCGCAGGTAAATCAAGCCTAATTGAATCACGTGTGTTAATTACATATATCAATGTATATCCATCTGTGTATTCTAATATGAATAACAAAAAGAATATGTATCATGATTTTTATTCAAGTCAAAGTCACATGATGGAATACCTCAAATTATATATCAGTGTTTATTCCCAAATACTCACATACAGTAGTCGGTGCGTAAGATTTGAGATAATGCAAATTGGGAACGTCATATTGGCTAAAACATTGCGAATCAAGGACCCAACATTATTTCGTGGGGGAGGATATTGTTGGAAAGTCCATGATGCAAATTCTAAATATCAATGGTTTCACTACACAACCGACATGCTGATTGTATACAATTCTAGAACCCAGGTGAGTCTGTTCCAATTTCCGTTGTTAATTCTAATACTATAGAGTGCATTCTAGATAATACAGAGTGTACATTCAATACACCATCGGACAGATGTAGGATGAACTTAAGAAGAAGACAAACAATCGATTACAGACACTTACACTTCAATTCGAGCTGTGGCGGATGTGATGTTTAAATAAATCAATGACTTCTTAGTATTGATGACTGTTGTAATTTTGAATTCCAAATACAATACATTCGTTCGAGTTCATCTGATACTTCTTGGTTAAATTGCGTTATTCCTGGGATTACTAGTTCATACTACAATTCAAATAATTCTGATTATCATAGTTGTCTCTGGGAATACTAGTTTATACTATAATTCAATTACTTCAAATCATCACAGTGACGGTAAATCCATTTTAGTGTCAGTCTCAACTTAATTCTATACTTTAAGTGCTGAGGGCCTTAAACCTGATATGAGTTGCCTAATCCCATTGATTCAAGCACCGTCACCTAAGAATATCTCAGCACTCAGATCGTGGATTGGTACTCTTCGCTTTTATTCTTGACTATTCCAAAGTATTGTCCCCACTTTTCGACCTGGTTTCTGTTAAAGAGTTTGTGTTGGGACAACGACACGAAGATATACTAAGTAACATTCTAAATATTTTAAACAGTGAGGTTTTATTCAGACCATTTTCAGCGACTGAAAAGTCTATCCTTACTACAGATGCACTTCCATTGGGGTTACGTGCCGTTCTGGAACAGAATGTGAAACCTGTTATTTTTATTTCAAGACGATTGAGCGACAGTGAACAAGAATATTCGCAGACACAACAGGAGGCTTCAGCCGTGGTGTGAGCAGTAGAAGGACTGCACAAATATTGTTTGGTGTAAAATTCCATATCGTAACTGATCACCAGACGTTAAAGTCTATTTACCAATCAATTGCGTCACTCCGTCAGTTATCCTCTGCCGTGATCCAGAGACGGATTTGGAGTTGAAAGCTTATGATTTTACCACTGAGCACCCGGTGGTTAGAAGCATATTAGATGCGGATTTCCTATCATCCTATTCGTGTTTCGCAAGACCATGTAACAAAAGTGATTGCGGGTTGATTCTTCCATTGTCCCGACCGTTGCTGCTACCTTGACGTGGTGGTCGGGCTTGCCTATCGTGATGATCCAATCAAGCTATGCTGGCTGGAACAATCGTTCCTCAAGGTCCTACCATGCCAGACAGGTCGGTTGAAGAGCGGTGAGACTAAAAGCAGCAATCCCAAGGTCCGAAGGCGAAGTCGTACTGCCGACTGTACAGAGGTGTGAAAGCAGTAAGGTGTTTCCTTCAGACAACCAGCATGACAGCGATGCTGCGTTCCCACAAGGAGGGGTGGGGTTAGTAAAGATCGACCCTAAAAATGCACACCTCGCCTTATCCCACGGATTTCCGTCTCCGGCGGTAAGGTCCTTTGAAGAACGGAGCTAACACGTCAAAAATCCCCCCAAAAAAGGCCGTGCGTGACCGGCCTCAAGCAAATGTCCCTTGGGCACTGCGGTCACGCTCCCAGGTCGTTAAGACCAACACTAATCCAACTTCTTTTTCAGGTCCCTCAAGAAATACCCTTCCACGGTGTGGGCAGCCGGGAAGTGATACTAACCCTCATACTCATAACTGCACACAAGACCAAGTTGGTCACATTCAAATCCTTCCTACACCTAATAACTCTGTTATCTCCTCGACTAACACTTCCCACGTCCTTTTATCACGTCGCACCGCTAGGGCAAACGATTCGAGTACACAGAACGTTATTCCTGGTCTCCTGAAACCACGCTCTAAACTACATATAGGAACTTTTAATGTCCGAACATTGTGCCAAATAGGACAACAGGCTTCCTTAGCTAGGACTCTAGAATCTTACACCATCGATGTGTGCTGCGTCTCCGAAACGCGCATACAAGATCCGAGTAGTGTCATTCATTTGACCGCACCTAATCAAAATAAAGTTTCATCTCGATACACGCTCCGTGTATCTGGAAGCCCTGACGCTGCTTCCCGTGGCCTCGCTGGAGTAGGTATAGCATAGGGCAGAACTAGCTCTTTTAGACTGGATCCCAGTAGACAGTCGTCTATGCGCTGTTCGACTAAACGGATCAGTAAGGACTCGGAAAGATAGGGAAACTCGTCGTTGCCTCTTCGTCGTCTCTGCCTACTCTCCCACTGACTGCAGCTCAGACGATATAAAAGATGAGTTCTACAGGAAACTTTCTGACCTTCTCCGAGAAGCTAGGCGTTCTGATGTAGTAATAGTAGCAGGTGACTTTAATGCTCAAGTAGGTAAACTAAGTGAAAGGGAAGGACACCTGGGTGGATCTTATGGTGTCATGGCGAAAAGAACAGATAATGGCGACCGTCTGTTGCAGCTATGCTCAGATAACCGCCTATTTCTTGCAAATACTAACTTTAAGCATAAGGAAAAACATCTTTTGACCTGGCGACACCCGAATTCGTCCCAATGTTGGACCCAATTAGATCACATCGCTATCAGCCACCGATGGAGGGGCTCGATAGAAGACTGTCGCTCATTCTGGGGCACATGCTTAGATTCAGATCATGCTCTAGTGCAAGCACGTATTTGTCTGCGTCTTACTGGACGTAGGAAAGACACTTCAGGGAAGCCTCTAAGGGTTCTACTTAATGGTAGGCAAGCTAAGAATATATTTCAGGAACAACTAGAAAAACAGTTAGGCAGCCATGTAAGTTGTGTCCACCCCGAGGCAGCGTGGAATGACATCCGAAAAGCTGTGGAAACAGCAGTGATATCTGCTAGTAAGGTAAACCATAACGTTAGGGAGAAACAATGGATCTCGGCAGCATCTACCGCATTGATAGATGCTCGTAAACTCATCCCACCTGGCTCTGAGCATAACGAAGAGCGGAGTCAACTTAATCGCAGGCTTATAAGAAGTCTACGTAATGATCGTGAACAGTGGTGGGTAGCGAAAGCAAGAGAGATGGAAAAGGCAGCGGCAATAGGTAACAGCAGACAGCTATTCAGACTCGTTAAAGAAACCGGTATTGGGAACCCGAATATCAGTGAAACCATCTCAGATAAAGATGGGCATATCATTCATTCTCAATCCAGGCGATTGGATCGATGGGCAGAACACTTTAGGGATCAGTTCAACTGGCCTTCAGCCACACTTCAATTACCCACGATCCCCAGTCGTCCTGAATGGCAAATTGATGTAAGTCCTCCAACCCTCTGTGAGGTTGAAAATGCTGTAGGGAATCTGAAGCGAGGGAGAGCAGCAGGCCCTGACAGGTTGACCCCTGAGATTTTTAAGGATGGTGGTCCAGTACTAGCAGTGAGATTGACTGAGGTCTTAGGTAGAATCTGGGAACTGGACGTAATTCCATCTGACTGGTCCCAATCACTGATTGTGCCAGTCTATAACAAAGGACAAAAGTCCTCTTGTGACAATCACAGAGGGATCAGTTTGACTAATATAGTGTCTAAAATATTAGCTTCAATAATACTAGGTCGCCTAACCAAAGCTCGTGAAGAGCAGACTAGAGAAAACCAGGCTGGTTTTCGACCTGGACGTGGTTGCATAGACCAGATATTCACCCTACGTCAGGTTCTAGAACATAGACACAAATTCAGACGTCCCACAATAGTATTATTTCTTGACCTGAATGCGGCATTTGACTCTGTTGATCGTGAGGTTCTATGGCAATGTTTGTCACTGAAAGGAGTACCAAAGAAGTACATTAACCTCATAAAGGCTCTCTACTCGAGCACAACTGGTCGAGTTAGAGCCTATGGCGAACTTTCATCAGAACTGATTACCACAAGTGGCGTTCGTCAGGGCTGTCCACTCTCCCCATTCTTGTTTAACTTTGTCATTGATTTACTTTTAGAGATAGCACTTTCATCAGCTAAACCTCCAGGAGTTGAACTATTACCAGGAGGCTCACTTGTTGACTTAGAATACGCCGACGACATAGTTTTACTCGGTGAAGACGCTGACAACATGCAGAGTCTTCTGACCACTATAAGCAACTATGCAGGCATGTTCGGAATGCGATTCTCTCCCTCGAAGTGCAAAATGTTACTTCAGGATTGGGTTGCATCGACACCTGAACTAATGATAGGGAGTGAAGTAGTTGAGCGTGTAGACCACTTCACTTATCTTGGGAGTCTCATCAGCCCTTGTGGTCTGGTGTGTGACGAAATCTCAGCACGGATACAGAAGGCTCGTCTAGCTTTCGCCAACTTGCGTCATTTATGGCGTAGGCGAGATATCCGTCTAGCAACCAAAGGACGGGTTTACTGTGCAGCAGTTCGCTCCGTCCTACTCTATGGCAGTGAAACATGGCCAATAAGAGTAGAGGATATTCGTAGGCTACTAGTTTTTGATCACAGGTGTCTTCGATGCATTACTCGTATATGATGGGACCACCGAGTAAGTAATGCAGTTGTTAGGAAACGGGTACTATGTAATGATGGCAAACCGATTGATGAAGTAGTGAAACTTCATCAGTTGAGATGGCTGGGACATGTGTTACGTATGCCCGACCACCGACTGCCCCGACATGCAATGTTTTATGGTGTAGGAGTAGGTTGCAAGAAAGCTAGGGGCGGCCAGACCAAAATGTGGCACAAATCCATGAAGTCACTGACAAGTGGAGTGAGCCATGTTGGTAGGTGTAGACTACCTGGTTGAGATTTGCGAGATGATAGCAATCGATGGTTAAAGACCTTGAATGACATGGCTCAAAATCGTTTGCAATGGCGAAGATGCATCCACTCTTTGTGTTCTACCAAATTCTAATCTTCTGAATTCGTCATGTCTTTATCTTTTTCTCTTTCCAAATTTATTTCACTGTACTATACTCCTTCAATAATTTTTTCAAACCCCTAATCTTTTGGATTTCTGATTATACTCCTACTACTTCTACCACTATGGGATTTGAATCGACAACTGCATCTCTGTGCTAATGTGGTATGGCAACTCGAACTGATGTACATACGTACGAAGTTCTACGTTGTGACTGACTGACTTGTCTGTTGATAAAGAACTTGTGGAGAGTATTGGTAAGTACTTTGGAACTGTCATAAGTACGGTGAAAAGAGGTTTGAATGTTCAGTGCAAACGTAGGTTTCCTGAGTGCTATGAAATGAGAGAAGACATACTACAATATCCTGAATGTGATTTGTTCTTTAATAATAGGGTAATCATTCCCCTACATATATATGAGGTATT